CATCGGTAATACACTGAGGTTCTTTGTAGGGAAGACTTGGGGAATGTCTCCCAGTGCAATGGTACAGCTGTACAGGGTACCGTTTCTCGGTTTCCTGCGGTACAGCTTACCGGCATTGACCAATGCAAGTAAAACAAGCCTACGAACGTTACAGAGTGTTCAGTTCCAGGCACTCCGGATTCGCCTCGGCTTGCCTCATAGTGCGTCGACAATGGCTACTTTAGCAATCACCAGTGACCACGTCATCACGACACATATCGACTTTGTGGCACTCAGGACACATATAAGGCATATTGCTCGGACACCCTGCCACCACCTAGCCTCTTTACCAGCACACCACGTTCATCATTTAGCCAAATGGCAACCACATATCGCGATTCTTTGCCAACATGCTTCACACCCACCGCCAAGCCTTCGACTTCTCCTTGGTGCCTGACTCAGGCTAACATCGATCTAACTATACCTGGCATTCAGAAAAAAAAACAGATATGTCGTCACCTGCTCTTAGGCCGCTTGCTCTGCTCTTGTTGTACGAGACGTATCAAAGCTTTATACACGTATACACCGATGGCTCTGTCAGTTAAACGGCATCATTTGTTATACCAATAAAAGACACGACAGGAAAATTCAAGACCTCCCACCTTACAACATCAGCAGGAGCAGAGCTCACAGCTCTTCGTGCCGCATTGCGATTCATCAGCGATCAACAGCCACAAAAGCGGACAATTTTCAGTGACTCAAAGGCGGCACTGCAATCCCTTCTATCACCTTTACGCCACGGCCCGTACGAAGAGCTGGTATTTGAGATTGCAGAAAAGACTCACAATTTTATTGAGAAAGAACATGAGATAGCCTTTCAATGGCTTCCAAGGCATTATGGAATAATTGGCAATGAATGGGCCAATCGAGCTGCCTTTTCTGCCCATACTGAAAGCGATGAAATATCAATGTCGCTCTACAGAACTCACGCTGCACGGAAACTCCGCATGCTTGCTCGCAAGCGCACCACGTCGCAATATAACAAGTCCAATTTCCCCCATGCACCACTATGTACTTTAGACTCAACTCTCAGTCTTCGAATTCCTCCAAAATTACGCCGAAGCGACGCTACTATGCTGTGCAGATTATGGTTGGGCGTTGCATTTAGCAATGCGTACAAGTTCCGCATAGGAATGGCTGACACTGCTGCATGCAAACATTGCGGCAGTGACGAAACAACTTGGCGCATTTTGTGTGAATGCCTACAATACTGCTCGCAGAGACAGTCACTCTGCAGTGCACTAGACGAACTGGACAACCAGACTCTTTCGGAAGAAAGAATCCTGCGCTACCGACAGGACTTTATGTCGCAGAAGAAGGCTGTGAAGGCAATCCTGCGCTTCTTGCGTTCAACCGGTCTGTCCAAACGACTGTGATCGGAACTCTCTGAATGTGTTCGCATGTGCTTTTTTTCTAATCTATTTGATATCTCTGTATCTCTATCCTATTTGCGACCCTTTTCGCTCACCCCTGTACCGGGTAGCAAAGCAGTTCTTCTCTATAGGTTAACCTCCCTGTCCCTTGCTTTTACTTTTATTCATTTTTCTCTCTCTCTCTCTTGTCTGTACGATCACGCACACACACACACACACACACACACACACACACCACACACACACACACACACACACACACACACACACATATATATATATATATATATATATATATATATATATATATATATATATATATATATATATATATATATATATATATATATATATATATATATATATATGTCAAGAAGCTGGTACACGTACGAGAGAGCAAGCAGCTCCTTTATATATTTACGTTTCGGTCGTGGCACAGCCTTCGTCATGAGAGAGTTATAGTATACCGGCCTTACCGGGTTACCAGGTGTACTGCGATACCAGAGTCGAAGTGCGCATGCGCAGATACGCACGTCACGCGTACCGCTTCCCGTACGCGCGGTATTTTTCAGATTTCACATTACCGTGGTAGCGTAGGTGTACGTAGTGTACGTAAACATGGCGCTGCTCTCGGACGCCCGCTTCGAAGTGATTTTGGCGTAGTTGTTGAAAGATTCACCTTGTTTGCAGCAAACGACTGTTCAAAGTGGCTTCGCTTGCCTTCAGTTAGCTTCGATGACCGAGTATTACGGATAAGTTGGCGTAGCTTTTGATATCGCTTCCAATTTCGAACGCGCCTAGGCCTAACTACAATATCGATGTAAACAAATCGGCAACGTAGATGTTTTCGCGTGTGGTTCGTGGTTCAAATTTATTTACTTTTATTATCACTGAAATAAACTTCTAAGAATGCTTCGCGCGGTGGCATAGGCAAACATTCTCGTTTTCTTTTCATTTTCACTGTTTAATTTATTAACCATATAATAGGTGGCGCCGCTACCTATATGGGGCACGTAAACCACGTAAACGCTATCCCGCTAAACTATAAGATGCTGCCCACAACGAACGTTTGTTGCACGGTAACACCATTCCCTTAACTTACGCTATCTTGCTAACGCTAAACTATAACTGTCTATTCTCTGACGAAGGCCGTGCCACGGCCGAAACGTAAATCTATAAAGTAACTGCTTGCTTTCTCGTACGTGTACCAGCTTCTTTTCTTATACGTACCAGACCCACTGAACTTCCCCACTGAATATATATATATATATATATATATATATATATATATATATATATATATATATATATATATATATACATATATATAGGGTGAATGCCGGGATAAATACAGCTGAGAGTGTCTATATAATTGCCATAGCAGAATAAAACGGGAACAAAGGCAGGCAAAGCAGTTTCAAATTGCCAGCGCGCAGACAGGCGCAGCCCGGCAACTTGTCCCGTTCTTCGCCATTTTCTCCCGTTGTCTTGTGGTGCTTGTTTCTCAATATCTCAGCAGTGCCAGCGTGTGCGAGTTTTCGGTGCTGGTAGCTACATACATACATACATACATACATACATACATACATACATACATACATACATACATACATGCATGCATGCATGCATACATACATACATACATACTACATACATACATACATACATACATACATACATACATACATACATACAAATAAAAGCGCAGGAAGACTTGACCGCAAGGCCACCAGAACCGTTTATTCCGTGACTTGTCTCTCGACTCCGAACACCAACGAGAAGGAACGATGATGATGGCTATGTACAAGTGAGAACAATGAAGTTACAAGGGCATTATGAACAGCTGGAAAGAGATGATAGATCCTGCGCGTGTGATTCTCTTTGTGATGTAAATACTTTCATGACAAAACCCTCCGCCGTCTAATGTGATACAGCTGAAGTCAGGCAATTTGTCATCTTGGAGAGTATAAATTAAAGCGACGCAATCGAAATTCTGAGAGTAATTAGTTGGATAGTTCTGCCTTGATGACGGCACACCGAATAACCGAATAATGAAAAACAAGAGCGGGGGCGGCGGGATGGGGTATTAAAAATGAACAGCTTTTAGCGACTTAAAACATTTTGGTACTCGCCCGCCCATTCTTCTAAATATATATATATATATATATATATATATATATATATATATATATATATATATATATATATATATATATATATTTATTTATATATATAAACAGCAGTACATGACAGGAGATCACAAAAAAGAGCAGCATTTTAATTAAGTGACCATTATGATGACGCGCACTTAGTTCTGGTCGCAAAGAACAGAAAGCTCTGCTGAAGTCGCAAAAAACGGTGCTACATTTTATTTCTGTGGTAGTGGGAAATTTTTAATTACTGAGCGTCTTTGCAATGAGGTTAAGACGAGAAACATTAACAAAAAGCTTGAAAGGAAGCATGCTCATCGAACCACACCTTGATTAGAGGAGATAATGCCACTCATAAAATCACATGTATGCTAGTATATGTGCGGCTTTACAAGTGACAGAAAACGCTACGTCTAAACATCATTACATTCGATCGCACGCTTACAACGTGTTTGTGCTTTTCGCTAACCTTTTAAAAAATGAAGTCTTGCTCCTATCTGTGGGTGCGATAACCATCAGAATGAGTTTCTATGGTGAATTAAGAAAGCTAGGATCGTGCTGAAATTACTGAAGTGTTTTTTTTTTATCCTGCCACGTCGCTATAATCATAGTGTATTAAAAATAACGTCATGGAATCGTGGGTATGCTTCAGCGCGTCGCAAAACGTTTTTATGCAGTGTTTTACTAATACCCAGCATCAACATAGACGTGCCAGTTCTTAAGAACTGCTGAAGCGTACTTTAAGCTTTATGAACAAGATACCAGTTTTTTTCTGATAAAAATCATGCGTCGCCTAACATTAAGCCGCACGAATAATGTTCTTTAAAAACACTATTATAAACAACTTGGTCTCCTCTCGTACTGCACTATTTCCAGATACTTTTTTATTAGCCCTTGCTGTGACGCTCATCGTTCCTGCCGCACGTGCCCACATACCCATTTTCCTTTTGGCACAGGTTTTTTTTTCTCTTTATCCTATACATGCTCTTTTTGCGTGAAGCATGAACGCCTTCCATTTGAAAGCATGTGTTGGACCCTCGAGTTTCCAGAAGACTGAAGTGTGTTTTCTTTGCTGGACTCTACGCGTTTTAATCTCAAGCACACGTGCGCGCTACAAACAAAGCTGTCTTCTAGAACCAGCGAGCAGTGCCAACAAACATGCAGCTGCGTCGTTGAGCATCGACGAAGACGGGGAGGACGAACAACCAGTCCGTTTCGGCGCCCCGCGGCCTGCGTGGCGCTATTCGGGGCGCGGCGGAATTTAATTACGACCGTAACTCGTGCTCCGCGGGGAGGAAGGGGTGGCACAGCCGCGACGCACAGCGCCAGAACGCGGCGTGATGTAGCCCATTATGGCGCGGTGCGTGTGCGGTGGCCTGCACGCTGGGCGACCATTCGATTGCTAACTCGACGCGGTAGCCGTAATTGCAATACTCACCTCTCGAGCGCACAGTGGACAGAAAGGCGTTCGTGCTCGGACTGACCCCGTCTGAAGAAACGAAAAGAGAGAAACATCTCAATTAGCAAAGCATACGCTCTGTGAAGAACAATTTTTCATGCATAGTTGTGGAGTCAGGAAGATAAAATGTTTGGGAGAACTATAAACTTGAAGGTACTGGATAACGTTACTGAAGTTCAGAGGTTTTGAGAATGTCGGTTTCAGTCGTTCCCCACTGCATTACCGAGGTTTTGTGTGACAATCGAGAATTTTTCGGCTCCGAATTTGGCTACATTCGTAGAAATATACGAGCAGAAAACACACGTGCACGAGCACCCCCCTTTCCCCACACCCCTTCCTCCCCCACACTCACACGAAGCGAGAGAGAGAAAAAAATGAAAGCTAGTCTATGTGAGCAGCATCTCTCTATATCTCGTGCCCTCTATTGTGATTCGAGAAAGTGATAAAGAGAGATAGTAAGGGAGGTTAACCAAGCTTGACTCAGTGTGCTTCCCTATACCTAGAGTGTGGGAAATTGGGAATAATAGATTCAATAGAAAAGAAACAACAAGAGTAAGAACAAGAATAAATCAACAGTTAGTGTGATCACACACAACACGGGTTTGCGGTGTTGGTTCACAAATACTCTTCAAATCCCGTCGTGTTTAAGTAGCACTGTTGGGCTTTTGTTGCTTTATGCATGCAAGAAAACATGGGCAAGGTACCAGTATCCTATTTTATGATAGTAAATTGTTCCGCATTAACATGGTCCGATCATTTTTCTTTAAATTCAATACACAAGACATAATTTTGTTCGGTCAGTAATGCCTTTTGTAGAGATGTTAAATGCAGATCAGTTGCGTTGCCCAGTTGGCTTTCTTACGATGACGCGGCACCCGCTTGGTTATCTTGCCATGGGGAAGGGGAAAATATTTTCAGAAAAAATGTGCGCACTATTGTTGCATCAAACAGGAATTACAGCTGCACGTAGGTGGAATTATACGACTGGAATGTGCTGTCCCGTGGGCCTGTAATCAAAACTTTGGTGCTGCGCTTAATCTTCTCAGTTGTGAGAGCTGCATTATCGGCATCCACCATTTTTATACGCGCATCCAGTTACCGGTGTCAGTATAGTGTTCATGAGCACAGAAATATTACTCACTAGACGAGTGACCACGGTGAATAATTCTCTATATAGATCTGTTAATCGATATAGGAAGTAGACTGAGTGCCCCTTACTGTCAAAATCTGACGTCAATCATCAGGCGCATGTACGTTAAAGAGTTCAGGCCAAGCCTCAGTTGCATTTCCGGTGTCTGGTAGACGAGTTTTTGTCCTCAGACCAGACTGAGTTTGGCCTGGTGTCACAAACGAGTGCTCAGAAAGGGGGCGCACGCCGAGTTCAGACGGTGCTGACGGTGCTGGGCGCCGGAGGGGTACCTCAAGGTCAACGCTAAACAATAAAATAAGCATCCAAGGACTCCGCGGGCGCGCCGTCTCTCCCCCTTGGACGCGTAGTTTCGCCGAACAACCTCCTCACATCGGCAGCCGAGCAAGCCCCAGACAGATCTGGAAGGAAAGGGCCGTGGTGATGTAGAGTTGCGTCACGGGTCACGGACTGTCCTCGAAACGTCTCGCTCTTTCCCCAGCCTTGGCTGTGCATCGCGCCGACGAAACGATAAGAATTTTTTGGAGTCTAGCGCGAAAGTTATTTAAGCGAGGAGCGGAGAAAGGAAAGCAGCAGATGCGGACAGTATTTACGCCCGTGTGCGTGGGCAGGAGATGAAGAAAGTTTTGCGCAAGTGTGCGTAGGGTCATTTCGCCCTGTCGGCGAAGGCTTCTGTCCTCAGTGACAAAGCAGGTGATGAAGATAGTTTCCACATGAGGGGTGAAGATTCGTGATACAAGCAAATGAGTGTGTCTACCGCCTGCGAGCGAAGACGCGTTGCAGCAGCTGCGCGTGGGAAGCTGACGTGTTACTGGCGAAGAAGTTTGGTGCTTGGAGAGCGGCCAATTGAGGACGCGAGGTTTCTTAAAAGAGAAACTTCGGGGGCAGCGGATCGACAACAGCACTGGACTTTGAGTGAGTGATTCTTGGGAGAGTAGCATTCAGACTTTATTCCTATAACTTTGGACTGAATAAGTTTTCGAACTCTTTAGTCTTTAAGCGTCTTGGTTGTTCGATGCATGTGATTGCATTGTAGTGCGTATTGTTGTTTGTATTCATTGTTTCGAGTGTAGCTGATGGTACTTTGTAGTACGGTGTTTGATTGGTGACATATTGTATTCAACCACTGTCGAGTGTGCATTTTTGTGTATCGTCTAATCTGCCATATTCGAGAGTATATACTTGTTTTGTTTGTCAACTCTCGGCTCCGACTTGTTCTTTGGACCAAAGCCGGCGTGTGGTTATGTGCCAAATAGGACCACTTCTAAATTGTCTGCGCTTTCGTGGTGCAGTTCGGAGAGCGATATTTCGGCCCTTGGAATTAGCCCAACGATCGCCTTCCTCTTTTACGGGACCTGCGACACCTGGATGATAGAGGTGGAGGTGATTTTCTGGTTTTGCGAGAGAGGCAAGAAGGGGCGTGATTCGCTTTATGCGGGTGAGAGATGGCCGCTCCTGACACTAGACGTGTGTCATGCTTTTGGGCAATTTAACAAAGAAGGAAGAGAATCTTACTGGGGAATTGATAGATCGGGGTAAGTGTTCATTTTGCAGCTGACGCCAGTCCCTGGCTAGCCCTTTTTATGGTTTGGGCTGTGCCACGCTGTTTTCCACCTTTGTTTTATTTGTGCCTCAAGGATATCACGAAGGTGTTAGAAGGTTCTTCGAGAAGATGGGTGATCGCCCACTGATTCCGTGAGCTCTGCCATCTGGTCTCTCATTACCCTCAAGTCCCATGAGTGCGGGACACCACATCATCGTGGAATGATATCGCATGTGTGTTTCTAGGATCTTCGCCGTAATTTCGGATGTAGCTTCGGTCATGAATTGACGGTAAAGCTGTGCAGTATGCGTGGGCTCTTTAAACCGCCAAAGCCACATACTCACTTTTCGCAATGTTTTTTTTGTGTTTCAGGCGTCGGTCACGTAAACCTTAGATCGCGTAGCGATGTGAATTCAACGCACTCAATCAGTCTTATGTGTGTTTTCTATTCATTACAGTTTATGCTCACCGCTATATAGGAACTTAGCTTTCTCTGCAAGCTCGCGTGCAAACACATAAATGTCGTACGTCGTCTACGAGTGACGGTTAACAAAAGGCGCCGAAATTGAAATAAATTCATGAGCGTGGTGCCTCTGTGCACATCTCACTCAATGATCGCAGACACTATCTTTCTCAACGCTGGCATTACGAGAAGGGCAGGAAGAAGTGAGCAAACGAGTTCAATTGCCTCTATTTTTTTATTTTTTTCAAGAACAAAATAGCACCGAAACTAGAAATAATTTAGTATGTTCGAAGAAGGTTTTTGCCTCAATAAATAAATAAATAAATAAATAAATATATATATATATATATATATATATATATATATATATATATATATATTATTCCCCAGAGTAAATAACTTGATGACGTGCTCGTCCTGCAGCTCGTCCCGTTATGAGAGCCTTGAAAAGTATATACCGAGAAGTAAGGTAGAGCTAAAAACCACTGCGGGCCATGAAGTGTCTTCTTTTAACCCTCTTATTATTCCTCTTTCATCGGGTTCCTCACAGTGAATTCTCAGAAGAGCACGAGCATGTAAGCCTGACCATCTGCATTGTATATACATGGCTTTCTCTACTTCAGCTTCTATCATAGGCGCTATATCGCACCCAGAATACCTTACGTACCATCGTGTACAGTGTCAATTTTTGATTGATATGTGGGGTTTAACGTCCCAAAACCACTATATGATTATGAGAGACGCCGTAGTGGAGTGTCAATTTTTAATAAAGGGAACACAGGAGCGCGTGGCCTGCGTGCTCGGACGGCTGCTGGAAGCGCATTAAACTGGGATCGATACATTGCTGATATGAACCCAGTGGCAAGACTGCAACCGCCTCCTTTATCATGGCGATTACCAACCGCTTGAATAGTTGCCTTCAATGTGGAAGTGCTTGCAGTCTTGCCGCTAGTTTCATATCGCCAATGACAGCTTGTTTTGCTCGCCTCAAGATGACGCAAAAAGGCGCTGTACTTGCTTTCGCTCCCACTGTAACGCGCTGCCAGCAGTCGCAGGAGCACGCAGGCCAGACGCTCCCGCGTTCCCTTTCATAAAAATTGACACTGTACATATATCTTCTGATTACAAGGAACTTGACCTCTGCAAAGGCATGCGACGCACACTTCATTTCTCTGCACCACCGAAGAAAAACGAAATAATACTACCTTTTTCAGTTATTTTTTGCGCGCACCATAATTTAAAACGTGATTTAGGAATAAAGTAAACAGACAAGACGATGTGGTTAAACAGTTTCTTAATACTGTGTAGAAAGTTTAGAATCAGAAAAAAAAAACATAACTTCGTCCGAGAGGCAATGCACTGACAGCGATAGCAATACATCGAGCATCTCCTATAGATATATGCGTAGTTTCATTCGCCTCATATTTTGATGTGAACATCCACATAGTAATTGAATTCATGGGTGTGGTGCCTCCATGCAGATCTCATTCACTGATCGCAGACACTGTCTTTCAACACTCTGGCATTATGAAAATGGCAGGAAGAAGTGAGCGAACGCGTTCAATTGCCTCTATTTTTTTTTCAAGAACACGTGGGCTTCAACTGTAAACGCACTGGGACTCGGAGATGCCCGCTGAGACAGTATCACGAAGCGACTGGCCCGGTGATCGTTGAAAAGCACTGAAGAATTGCCAGCAATAGACTGATCTCGCACCGGTTGTCTTTTAGGGGCGAAGCTCCTTAGGGTCAAGCAACGTTCTCTGTCCATCGGCGTGACACGCTAGTACTGGAAACGTCCGGTAGAGGGAAGGGTGGTGCCAGCGCTCGCTGTTAGCGCGTGCTGTGGTTTAAAAGGATACCGCTAGGGGCGCGGCTGT